ATTTGGGGACTAGCAAACAAAAAGTTTTTATACACCATTTGCTTGATCAAATTTTTTGTGGCCTCGTACCTCGTGTGTTTTTTTTTAAGAGAGAGAGAGAGAAGGTACGGGGAAAGAGACGGATAGACAATTTTACCGTCCGCAAAGAGGCTGTCTACTGAAGACTCTACAGCTGTCTTGATTAAGGACTTTCAACTATTATCTAGATGGTTGAGGCGAAGACAGTAAAGCAGAAGGTTCTCTCCCCACCCTCCACTCCCTCTGGTCACTGATGGAAAACCCACCATAATATATAAAATAATATCTTATAATTTATAGGAGTGTATGGAAAAGGCATGAGCTATAAACTACCTCCACTGCACAGTACTACTACTACTACTTAAATACCACTAGTTATACTGTCGGTTGAATACTGTGTTGCAGGTATACATGACCAACAGGATATTCTGAGCAGCTTGGGAGCAAGCACCGGGACGCAGGTGGTCACTACATAGAGAGGATGTTGACTAGTATAAGCCTATGCTTGCAAGATGCATATTCAGCTGATATTTGAAAAACTAAATTTATATTTCGCCAGTAACTTTCATGGGGAGACTATTCCTGTGCTCCACAACTCTGCTTGAAAAAAAAATGAGCTTGCCAGTGCTATTGCCATCCATTCTTTGCAATTATGCACGGGAGTTCATAGCCGCCTTCTATCCTGAATCGAAGCATACCTGTGGAAAATACTGTATATTTTCCGGAAATACGGTAATTTATAGGTAAATAGATGACCCATATTGTATATAATCAAAATTATGTTATCGAAAATGGGAAGAAGCTGCGCCTGCACAGAAGACACTCGCCATTGTTGTTTGAATCAACACAAACGTTAGTTAATAATGTGAAGAATTTTCGTGCTCTAGAGGTAAAATTGGGTTGACACCTCTCAAATAGGAGGCGAAATTGTTGGATGTGCATTCCTGCATAACTTGAGATATCAGACGACTGGACAAGACAGCTCCAGGAACCTCAGATAAGCTATATAGATTTGTGTTATAATTCTGGCCAGTGTTATTTTCATAAATTTAGTTAGAATGAGGTTTTCTGAGTATGATACGCCTTAATCTTCAGTCAAATTGGTGAGTGATACTAAGATATTCTCCTTCTGTTATGTAAGTTGTATATATATAATCGTTTACTAATTTTAATATACAGTCCACAAATTTATATATTTACCAGAATTCTTTGTGTATATTTCATTTGTAAGTAATAGGTCTAGAGCAACTTGTGGATATGACAGTGGTAGGTATCGAAGGGGGACATTTTTTGTGACCTAGGTGTCTCAAATTCCTACTTGTCTATGAACTCTGATAAATAATAATTATCTTTGTTATTTACTGATATGTACATTATGAGTTACATCCAGATAAATGTAATTTTCCACAATACCTTTCGGCCAGAATTAATTTTCAGGGACACTTGCTCGGTCACAAAACTTTTGAAAATACACAGAAAGGAGTACTCAGTCTTACAATATTTAGTATCATTATACAAAAACTAGTCCATCTTCCTTTCCAGACACATACTGATGACTCTCCGCTAGTTGCGGCTGAAAGTCAGTAGATATCGCCGCGCCCAACAAGGTTTTTACCTCGTATCTATCGCTTGCGAGGGACTTGGATTAATTATTTCAGCAGAGGAATCAAAGACACTGATGATCAAGGAAACGGATCCAGACATCAGCCTTCACGTAGAAAACATCAAACTTAAATGGACTACCTGTTACCAATACCTTGATACTTGGACTGATGAAAGACTAACATTTCGACACAGGTTGACTACACCTGGTAGCGAACCTCCCCAGAATCAAGGTCATGAAAGTAAAGCAAACCCACACACTGGTACTAACTATGAAGTGTTAATATTGTGTTACCGACGCGCATTTCGCTCTCTCATTGATTACAATACACCACCCAGGAGCGGTGAATCGACCCCTGCAACCATATATAGGTGAGTACACATCCCTCATGAACATGGAGTGAATAAACGTAATTGTAGAAAATACTGTATACATTTTCCAGAAATTCAGTATTTATATGTATATAAATGGCCATACTGTATTTAATAACATTTATGTCATAGAAAATGGGAAACTGAGCCTGGGGAGAAGGGACAGTCGCCATTTTGGTTTTTGAATTGGATACAACGTTAGTGTAATGGGAAGGAATTTTCGTGCTCTAGAGGTTAAAATTGGGCTGACACCTCTCAAATAGGAGGTGAAATTGTTGGATGTGCATTCCTGCATAACTTGAGATATCAGGTGACAGGACAGGACAACTCCAGGAACCTCAGATAAGCTGTCTAAATTATGTTTAATTTCTGGCCAGTAAATTCTTCATAAATGTAGGCGAAAGGGGGGTCCTGTACATGACACATTAATCTCCAGTCAAATTGGTGAGTGTTATGATTAAGATATATTCTCCTTCTGTTATATAAATGTGTATATATATAATTATTTATTATTTTTAATATACTGTCCACAAATTTATATATTTACCAGTATTCCTGGTGTATGTATATTTCATTTATAATTAATAGGTCTAGAGCAACTTGTGGATATGACAGTGGTAGGTATCGAAGGGGGACATTTTTTGCGACCTAGGTGTCCCAAATTCCTACTTGTCTAACTGATAAATAATAATTATCTTTGTTATTTACTGTTATGTACATAATGATACATTCAGATAAATGTAATTTTCCACAGTAATATAAAATCGGGTAATGCGAACTATGCATGCACACTATGGGACTAACCTAACCTGATACACAAATAACCCGCACATAAAAGAGAGAAGCTTACGACGACGTTTCGGTCCGACTTGGACCATTGACCAAGTCACTTTGTCAATGGTCCAAGTCGGACCGAAACGTCGTCGTAAGCTTCTCTCTTTTATGTGCGGGTTATTTGTGTATCGTTCCAGTCACGGTATTGTGCCTTTTTGTTATTTATTAACCTAACCTGAGTCAGGCTGGACGTTCAACTCCCACAAGTTGCTAAAATCCTTTATCAGCAAAGAGAACCTAGCAAAGAAAAGAGATATGTTCTCTCTCTCGACAACACCTGCCTGAAAACCTTGTCGATGCAGCTAAAAAAAAGTTGTTTTATAACCGACAACTGCTGGGGAAAAAAAAAACTTATTTGCCAGATGGAAAGCACCCTCCTCGGTAACAAGAACTAGTAGAAATTGCCATATTGTATCCCCCAGGTGAGCAAATGTGTATGAAGCAAGGACTCCCTGCTACGCCACGCGGAATCAAGCATTGCCAGAGCCGGAGGTCCCAACAGTGGAGCGTACTTCACCTATGGTTCAGTAGTTCCTAATAACAACCCTACCGCAGCCGGAATCCATCACGATGGACAGTCCGGGAATGAAGACCCACTGCAATCCCTAACTCATGTTTTACAACAGAACAAGCAATATGTAAGTCTACACATTCCATAACTGCTATCCAATCACTCCAAGACATTCATCAACAGGACAACGTAAGATTTATCACATCCATCTTGAGCATCTTACAGGTTCCTAGATGTATAGGGAAGTAAAATCACACTCAACTGGATACCAAGCTACGTTGGTATTCAGGGTGGACGAGGCTGTTCATGAAGCTGCCACATTAGCCACTAGGGATGAGCATGTACGCGTCCCCATACCAATCAGCATACGACTTACTTTTTAGAGAGTGCAGATTCAGTGTCCTCAGTCTTTCCTCGTAGGAAACATTTCTGATACATGGGATCAACTTCGTCATCCTTCTCTGTATGTTTTCCAGCGTATTTATGTCCATTCTGTAATATGGAGACCAGAACTACGCAGCATGATCGAAATGGGGCTTTACCAAGCATACATAAAGCTTAGTCTTCCCTTCCCGTATTATAAAAGCAGTATAAATTTACACAGTGATGCTGAAGGCACATTTTTATTATTTGTGCACATGGTTAATTGGGCTATAAACCTATCAAATACTCTGAGCATAATTAAGGTTGCATAAATCCCGTTCACCACCAGTCAAGAATACTTTAGTCTCTATAATAGGAATAGTATAATAATAATAATCTTTATTTCTACAAGTACATGATACAACTTACACAGGCCTAACTGACATCAGTTACATGCTACATAGAAAGCCCTTGTTATGCAGAGAAGTTTTGTACCCCAGGATGGGACCCACACCAGTCGACTAACACCCAGATACCTATTTTACTGCTAGGTGAACATGGACAGCAGGTATCTTAAGGAAACACGCCCCAAAAGTCTGCACCCGTACCGGGGATCGAACCACGGACCTCAGTATGTGAGCCGAGCTACAGCATAAATACAGTTAATGGTCCAAGTCAGACCGAAACGTCATGATAACTTTCTTTCTCCTATATGTGGGTTATTTTTGCATTGTTTTGTAAAGATGCTCATCTATTGGTGATTAAAGTCTATGAGGTGTAGGTGTGAACTATTATCAACATTTTAATGAAGTTAAATTTGAGTTATTTCCATGGGGTGCACAATAAAACTGTGAAACAGCATACATAAAAAAAATTAAAAATAAAAAAATCTGAAATAAAACCCTTTATTTTCCAAAAAGAAATATAGTTTTAAAATTGTTTAACAGTAGTGTTTTCATGCATGGAAAATACTAGTAATACAATGAATTTCAGTTGCAATTACAGTAAAATATACACATATGAATCAATCTAAAAAACAAATCTTGCTTTTATCAATTCATTCATGTTTGCGTTATAAATATAATTATTAGTGAAAGTGAAAAGGAATGTGATGTGATGAATGTTTTAGTAACTGTGAAAGTACATTGTTTATGGCAGCTGGAGGTCTGGCAGCCCTTAAGTCTTAACAACACTGTCACTCTCAACTTCTGTGCCCTCACTGGTATGTAAATTTATTTTGGTACAGGTACACATAAGTACAATTACCATACCTAGTAACATGTAAATTACCAAGGATAACCCTGAAAAGGTCAGATAAAGTGACTTTTTCCATTGGGTTCCACTGGAATGTGGAAAGTGTTGTTCTACACCTTGTCTTGTGTGGAAGTCTTGCACTGCTCCGTGCCTTGATTATTAATTTTCATTTTCCCTATTTTCTCACCCTGGAACATTTATCTTGACCATCGTCTGCTCGCTGCTGGACAATTGGTCGGGGCGGCATACATCATTATTGATCCTGGGGGGGAAAAGCTTGATGTTTAGACTGAGGTAAGTAAGTAAGTGTATTCAGGTACACAAATACAGTTACTTAAATTATCATACATAGCAACATATGTATAATTCAGTGCGGTGAAGGTGTGAGTGCCTAATAGGGAACTTATTGTTCCCTTTCCAGTGGAAACCTTGTTAGACTTGTAATTGTCGTCTATATATTTGGTCGACATATTGTCCCTGGATTCCCGGTAAATAGGGTTCAAAAAAGCGTGAGTTAAGGTCTTCCTTAACACCCCCAACAGCAGCCACAACACTCAAGGATATCAAGATTTTATTTTTCCGTCTCGTTGCAGTACCTGTGTGGTGTTTGAGGAGTCGTTTGACTGTGGTAATATTGTGGGTGTCGTCAGGATCTTCAAATGAGCAGGTATTCGGTGACCAGCTGACAGCTCTACACCTGCTGCTTTCTACCAGATGGTGCACCAGCACGAGTTATGCCAGTGAAAACTGTCCCCAGCCAGTAATACAGTAATTTTTTTTATATTAACCATTCTTCAAAGTTATGGGCAGGACGGTGGTAGCCGAGGACTGTCTGCAGGACAAGCTGACAGCATTAGCCAAGGCTGGCATCTTCCAGATTGGTCTTGTGATCGGTCAGGTGTGTACCATGTGCTTGCTCTGGTAAAATTAAACTTTCAGAGCATCATTTAATTGCAAAACTTTTCTATTTAACATTTTTCGTGGGAGTTTTGTTATATTGATACAAGTTTCAGACCAGGCTGTTGTCAGTTGATTTGAAAAATCCACCAAACTTTAATTAACCTGACTTAACCTAAACCAGACTCTAGTACATGTATTTCAGATATTAGCCAAAGTGGCTATATACTTGCATATATGCTGACTTGTTAAGTCTAACACTATTATGCATTAGGATTTTGTTTTACCCCTACTTCCACACCTTCAGTGGAATTAAGGGCTTAGGTTTACAACTGCAGAATAAGTATTTTGACTAGAAATTGTTACTGTATTTTGAGGGATATGGGCAAAAATGTTAAATTTATTTAGGTTGGGCAGCTTGTCTGAGGCAGTCAATGCTTGGTATTGAGTCTTGTCACATATCTGGTCAAATGGTGAGATAAAGTTATTGGGTTACTCCAGATTGAGTTACATGGGTTCCGTTAAGTTAGGTCATGGTTTTTACTGTTTGCACAACAAAATATCTCGACTGTAAAACAAACTTAATATTATGCACTTCAAACCATAATGGCCAAAATCTATCACATAGCAGTCTTCTGCTTTTACCAATCGTAAAATTAGACTACAACTAGAGATTGAAGTATCCATGATCATGCCTTGAATGATGATCTGTGTTAGCAATCTCCTGGCTTCATATGTTGCAGAAATGTACACCACAATTCATAGCATAAAATATTTGTATTTCCCAAAGACTTGCTGTGTCATCACTGAGAAGCAATAATGTGTGAATTTTAGGGTTGCCCCAAATGAACACATGCAAGTGAGAAAAAATAAGCGAAGATTTTAGGAGACAGAAAAGTAAAAAAAAAAATACTGTAGTAATGGAGTAATGTTGAGGCAGAGGAAATAAGAGCAGACTACCGTGCAAGAGTGCTCTTTCCATTTCACCACATAAAGACATTCGAAATGATTGGAAAAGACTCGTGTGTCCATCCTGTTGTGGCTGGGCATTGTCCAAAGGAAACAAGTGGCTGAAGATATGAAAAGAATAGATAATTGATTAAGGTATTAACAGTTTAAATTCAGTTTTCTCTCGAAGTATTGATACCTGTTATCAGAGAATCATTATGTGACCTTTGCTGTGTGGCCCAAATTTGTTTGGAGCTTTTTTTTTTTTTTTTTTTTTTTTTTGAGTAGAAATAATAATTTTACTTGAGTGTACCTTAGAAATATTTGTTCAGTCTTTCATTTACTGTTTTCCTATATGTAGAACCTCAATTTATTGAGTCCTGATTTCATGTATTCATTTCATATTTAACAGACAAAATCTATAACCAGACAAAATTCAAAAGCACCAAACAAAGTCCACGAAATCCAGAATTGTCCATCATTCTTAGAGTCCACTAGGTATATTCATTTTTTATTTAATGGATTTTATCCGGAATTATTCATTATTGTTGCAGTCCGCTGGGTAAATTTATTTTCGGATTTAACAAACCTAGTCTGTTAATTCCAAAAATTGTCAGTTAATGTTATGTCATGGAAAAATATTCTCATTTAGATTTAATGGACAGTTGGCTTTAATATATGCTCACACCCTCTGTTAGTCCATCAAATTGAAGGTTCACTGTATTGGAAAGATAATGTATTTTTCAGAATGCCAAAGATCGTGACTTCATTGTCCATCTGGCCCCAACACCCATTCCAGATGAAGGAGATTTGAGTTCAGAAGAGGAAGAGGCCATACCAAGTTCAAAGACAGGGCAGACTAAACCAAAGTATCCTGACTCTATTGCCAAGGTTGTCGATATTACCATATCTCAGCATACAAGACAGGTAAAGCAATAATTGTATTCTTGCATTCTGGAATATATGAACTAAAATTAGTCACAAAAAATTGCATGAATTTTTATGTAGGAATTGCACTTTTTGTATTCCTTACACTATTGCAAGTCGATTAGGACTGGTGATCCTGAATGTAATTGATGTTTCTGCCATTTTAGGTTAACTTAATTAAGATTGCAGTACTCAACAGAAATTTGTATTTATAGGAGGGTTGGTGTGGGTGGGAAGAGGCATAATTAGTGAAATGATGATGTAAAGAGGGTGGTAAGAGAGAAAAATTAACATATGAAAGGTTTTCACAATGTAAAAATATATGGAAGGCAGAGAATATGGAGAGAAAGAGTTGTGAGGGTATGGAAAAGGACCTCCAGTGATAGAATGGGGGACTCTTTATCAGTACATTTTGCTGAGAATAAGAAACAGTTTTGTAGAGAGAGATTACTAAGTTCAGAAAGCCTGGGGTAGCAAATGGATTTGCTAATTAAAAGTGAAAGAGGGGAAATGTTAGATGGGGAGGAGTGTATACTGGAAAAATGGAGACAGTAGTTGGAAGCATCATGGGAAGAAAACATGGAAAATGTATTGCCAGCTCTCAAGGCCAGGGTAGATCTTATTACAGTACAGTACTATTTCTGTTGTGCTTACAACTTATGGAAGCTTTCATGTACATTGATTTCATCTAGAAATGCAAATGTTCATCATAGCAAGAAATTCCTCATTTAATTGTTATAGGCTATGGGAATCTCTGGTTATATATGTTTTCTTGATAATTTTTTATAGTATTTTGTGGGATGAAAAGATAAATTGATTCGATTATATCCCACCAGTCTCAGATTCTGGGGTAGCTGTCTGCTTATTAGAATATATTGTATAGATTGTAAACACGGACAAAGGTCTCTAACAACCCTTCATCATATAACCAAATTAAACCCAACTTTTCTTAATCCAAAAGTTTCAAGAATATATTTGCTATTTTGCCTTCATTTTAGTGCAGCAAATGCTCAGTGTCAATAATTTATTGGTTTGTGGCATACATAACATTATGCTCATTTTGCTTATTTGTATTTTTTCCTCAAAGTACATCTCCAGCTTTTGTTTTATTCCTATTTGTATATTGTATTTTTTGAGAAAATAAGTATGTACATTATTAAAAACTTTAGTTCATTAACTTCAAAAATTAATCCTTAGGTTGTACGCATGCTGCCAGGTGGGCTGGATATTATTGGCATCTACGTGGTAGCACCTCTAGCAGAGTTCAGTTCATCTGTCAGCCAATTTAAGCTCCGTTCTGTTCTGTCAGTGGTTCACAAGACAGCATCTAGAATTCTGTTAGACACTGCAGAAGTTAGAACTGAGAAAGTTATCATTCATGTATGCACACAGACATTCAAGTAAGGATAAAATTTATTTTGCTACAAGTATTTTTCTGTTTGTTGCATTTATACAGGTATAGGTACAGTATTTAAAGTGCTTTAAACAACTCAAGATTTTAATTTATTATATTCATTTGCTTCTTTCCAAGCTTGTTACTGTCCATTAAGGATTATGTCTGCATCTTGTTGCCTTTTGTCAGTCCCCAGTCAAAATCCTATATGTAAAGTCTAATGTTCCTTCGTTGCAAAACTGCCATGATACTGTCTATACTGTTTGGTTTGCTTTCATTTTCCTGACCCTGCAACCTATGGAGTAACCTGATGTTAGCAAAGCCAACACTTTCCAGTGGTCGTCCTTCTTAATCGAGCCCTTTTTATAGTCTTCAGACTGGTTACTTCTTTTGATCTATCCTTTCCCCTCTCATTATCTTCACTATGATCATGTCTCTTCCACCTTGGGGAGATACTGATGATTTGAGCATGTCCGCTCTTTCCCATTCTGTCTCTCATAACTGCACAGGACATCCACTCCATCTGTTTTAATGGATAGTGTTGACAGGGACACTTGCCAGATTTGGCTAGTATTTTCATGGAGGAGTTACAGTAGACCGTCATTTAGCACTGTAGTTACGTTCCTGAAAATGCCGTGTTGGGTAAAATCGTGTTAGATGAACTGAAGAACTTATTGGAAAAATAGGGTTACTTTCCTGGGAGCCCTCCCAAAAAGTCAAACAACTTTTTTTTAGGCCTCCACATATTACAAAAATAAAAGTGAATATGTAGTTGTAGTTCATTGTTGTGATGTATTATGTTTTTTACTGCTTAAGACTACAAATGTAACACAAATAATAGCATTTATTACCTTAAATTGTGGGTGCTGGTGTTTGTGGATGATTGTGAAGAGAGTGGAGAGTTATGTTGTGGCCCTACTGGGGTGAGGTGGATGGTAGAGGTTCTGGTACTAAAGTCGATAGTTGTACTGGAGTGTCTAACTTTGTCATTCAGTCAGTCAGTCATTTAGTAAGTTAGCCATTAAGTCAGTCACACAAACTCATATTTGCCTCTTTTTCTGTGTACAAAGTAATACTTCATTACAGCTACAGGTTATCTCTTGTCTAATACCTTTGTTTCTTTGTTAATTCTAAGACTTAAGTGCTTATACCTTTTCGTGCCACTTTCAGCAACACTGGTATGGCTACTGGGTGTCATGATTGCTTGGCAGATACAAGATATAGTAATTAAAATATCATAACACAATTCACAAACACAGCTGCCTTGTAGCAGAGAAAGACTGGACTGAACACGTATGAATTACGAACGCTGGGATGGTGGGGTGGTGTCCGGGAATGGTAGGGGATGGCGGGAGGGCTCCTCAGCTGCTCCACAACAAGGCAGCCGCTTGAGCAAAAGAGAATTTTTTTTTCCCTCCCACAAACTGAACCGTGTTAAATTAATTATACAACGTGTTACATAAAATGTCTGCTGCAATTCTTCAGTCGTGCAATACTTAAATCGTGCCAAATAAACTCGTGCTAAATGACGATCTACTGTATATGCACTTCTTGCAGCCATCATCTACATTGCTTCTCTTCCTAATACTTTTGTTGTAGTCTACGATTCTCAGAGTGAATTTCAAGCTCTTCAGAACTTTCACTCCTCACATCCCATAGTCCTTAGCATTCAATGCTGTTTGTGCTGCCTCTTCAGCAAAAGTAAAGACATTGTCTTTTCCAAGGCCCCTGGTCATTTTGTTGTCTGGGTAATTAACTGACTCCTGCACATTCCACAGCTCAGGACTTATCCATCTCTCACAGAGATACACCCTATTCAGACTATTTTCCAGCATACAGGATCAATGGTAACATCGTTGATATACATTACAGGGCAACAAGTTATTTGTGATCAAACCACAGTTGACTTTTCGGCCAATTTCTTTCACTGCTGTCATGTGTGAGAAAAGTCTATAGCACAACTGTGTGTTTGCCAAGCAACACTCACATGAAAGAAACACATGAAATACTAGGGTAAATAATGTCAGATGACCTGTCTTTTAAAGAACAATAAAACAAAGGGTGCAAAGCCAGGAAAATGTCAGGGTGGATAATGAAAACTTTCATAACAAGAGAAATAATGCCAATGGTTTTACTATTCAAATCAATGGTGCTCTCTGGCTTGGTAGTAGGTTGGTAGGCAGCAACCACCCAGGGAGTTAATACCTTCCTGCCAAATGGAAGAGAATCATTTCTCTGTAAGCATTGTGTATTGTAAAAATGTTGGGGGCAAGGGGCAAGTAACCACTTCTGTATAAATTACTACATGTAAAAAGAAAGACTTTTTTCTTTTTAGATTGCCCTGCCTAGGTGGGACATGGCCATTCCTTTCAGAAATAATAATAATAATACTTGTTCTTAAGCCAGACTCGAGTCCTGGAGGTGGAAGGTACAGTTCCTGCATTCTGAATAAGGGGTGGGGATGTTGCAGGTTGGAGGGGCATCTGAGCTGTAATGTCGGCACACATCTGGCAAGACAGTGATAGGGCTAGTAATGGTGAAAGTGCTTTCTTTTTTGGGCCACATTATCTCGGTGGAAGACGGCTGGTGTTTTAAAATATGGCTAAGATAATTAGCCAAAATTAATTGTAATATATAGATCCAAAAGTTAACTTGACATGAAGGAAAAGAATAGCCTCGTGTTATAAGATTGTCCAAGCCCTGACTATTCAAAGCTATGTTGCATCATAATGATTATATATGCATTTAAGTAATATATATGTTTTTAGTTTTCTGATTTGATTTGATTTTTTTTGTAACAAATATATTTTATACATTGCCCCCTTTGTCATGTATTGAACCATTAGCAAGACTGTCAAGATAGTCTTATTGATAAGATGCTTTTGGCAGCAAAGCAGTGCATTTATTGATGCCAGAAGAAACATTAGATTGTTTAATGGTGTGGGACTTCACAAAATGGCATTTGCATTCTTAGTAGGATTGCTCAAATTGCAGTGTATTGCAGTTTTCACTCGCATATCTGAACTAATTGTAGTAAGAAGAAAATATGTGGATATATGTTAATTTTTTGGTGGTTCAGTTATTTTTTTCAAGGTTTATAGAACATGTGTTTGTTATGATGCCAACTGTCAAGTCATTTGAAAAATTTTGAGAAAAATAAAATAAGAAAATCTTTTGTTCTTTCCCCCCAAAGGATTGCTTAAGTATTTTGTGTATCTGTTCTGGCAGGTGGATATGACAACTTTGATTCAAATTAAGGGAGGGTCTAAGAACCAGCTCTGGAAATTAAACACCCAGTATACCTCAAGGGAGGGCCTGAGAACCACCTCTGAAAATTAAGCACCAGATTTATTCTGAAGCAGATTTATTCTGAACTGCATTCTCTTCATCAGCATTCTCCACTGGGCATGAAGAGCACTGTATTCACGAATAAGGTTGTTTAGAGTTATTAATCTTTGAGTTAATAATTAACAAAAATTTTATTTCTAGGGTCACATGCAAAACTGTGGATGTATGTCCCACTTCTCCCAGTGTGCAGTCAAGTGCAGAACTCAAATTCCAGCGAGGAGGTATCAAGTGGCAGCAGTTGAGTTTCTCATACAATATTAACCTTAACTTTTGGCTTCCAAAGGACAAGTCATCACAGTCTCTCTTCAAAACTGTTCTTGTAAGTCCATACAAAAGTTATTAACCAGGCTTTTATTTGATGTTTCAATTTAGAGGTGTGTTTTCCTTTTTTTATGCTTGCCAATTAGTCAAGTAAAAAAAAATTCATGTGAAAAGGTTGCAGTATTTATTTGACAGAATAACAAAAGTGACAAGGGTGAGAGCATTTCTAGACCAGTGAAAAGGATGCAGAAAAATGAGTAGGTTGGAATTCCAGTGCCTGCACTCTCAAGGAGGGGTTTGGGATATTTGCTGTTTGGAGAGACATCTGAGCTGTTGTATCTGCACACCTCTGGCAAGACAGTGATATTGTGAATGATGGTGAAAGTTTCTTTTTCGGGTCACCCTGCCTAGGTGGGAGACAGCCATCGTGTTTGAAAAAAAAAATACTGTATTTAGATCTATGTAAATGATGCACTGCTGTTGGTAAGCTCATGTCCAGTTGAGGTGAGCATGTGCATGAGGCAAAACAGGAGGCAAGTTTGTCATTTCATCCATTGCAGTACTTGCCGTAGAATTGTTTGGCTCTTCATTGAAACTTGGCTCTCGCTAAGATCAATAGGTAGACCTTTGTAATGGGTGCAGTTGCAAGTTCTGGACAGTGCAGTGCTGTTAAGCCTTCATAAACAGCTGTTGCACACTCACACTTTCCATATTTGTAATTTAGTAAGTCACAAGTGCCATGGCTGAAATATGGTTTGCCAGACTGGAGAATTTTGACTGCAGTTGTTTGTATCGATAGTGAAGGCACTAAGGAGAAGCCTACAAATACAAAATCATTTTATATAAAAATGCTGGAAGATAGAAGTGTAAGCAGAATATAAGAATAGTAAGGTATTGGTAAACAGGAAGGGTACAGAATGCACGAATATATAAAAGATATGAAATAGTGGAGATATCCAAAGATACGAGGTAGAGACTGCAGAGTGGGTTCATAGATGTACAAATTTTTAAACTGATTTGAACATGGAGAGCCTAGCTGATGACTGAATTGAAAAAAAAAATATTCAGGATTGAAGTGCAAGTAAGATGACAATTGATAGGTTAACAATACCATGGAGAGACGTTAATTATAATTTTTAGTATTTTCACATGAAAAATGATGAAGAAATTTGGAGGACAACTGGGAAAGATCTCGCAAAGAACTTGTGAAAATAGGACATAATTAATTCAGGATGCCAGGATTTTTTTTTCTTTTAGTATAATAGCAGGACATGGCTAATGTTACAACAAAAATTAAACTATAGATCTTTTCTGACAGCTCATCTTCCCCCCCCCCCCCAAGTCAGCCATCTCCCACCAAGGCAGGGTGACCCAGGAAAAAAGAAAATCCCCAAAAAGAAAATACTTTCATAATCATTCAAACTTTCACCTCGCTTTCACCTCATGAGGGCAGTAAATGTATTGATGACATGCATGAATGGGATGAAAGTCTACTGTTTGCTCATCCCCATTTTTATGGGGGATCATTGCAGGACCATTCTTTCCCAAATTTATAACCTTTTGCTATTGTTTCATAGTTTTTAAGGTATAGCTGCTAAGTTCCCTGGAAATCATAGCAATTACAGCATCTTGCTGAAGTATATTTAATACAATGTATATTTGGTTTTAACACTTAAGTTATTTGTGCATAATTTTTATGTATAGTATGTTGATAATGTTTATGTAAAGACAAAGATAGGCTTGATTTTTTTTTTTTTTTTTTTTTAACACACTGGCTGATTCCCACCAAGGCAAGGTGGCCCGAAAAAGAAAAACTTTCACCATCATTCACTCCATCACTGTCTTGTCAGAAGGGTGCTTTACACTACAGTTTTTAAACTGCAACATCAACACCAATCCTTCAGAGTGCAAGCGCTGTACTTCCCATCTCCAGGACTCGAGTCCGGCCTGCCGGTTTCCCTGAATTCCTTCATAAATGTTACGTTGCTCACACTCCAACAGCACGTCAAGTATTAAAAACCATTTGCCTCCATTCACTCCTATCAAACACGCTCACGCATGCCTGCTGGAAATCCAAGCCCTCGCACACAAAACCTCCTTTACCCCCTCCCTCCAACATTTCCTAGGCCGACCCCTACCCCGCCTTCCTTCAACTATAGACTGATACACTCTTGAAGTCATTCTGTTTTGCTCCATTCTCTCTACATGTCTGAACCACCTCAACAACCCTTCCTCACCCTCTGGACAACAGTTTTGGTAATCCCGCAATCTCCTCCTAACTTCCAAACTCGAATTCTCTGCATTTTATTCACACCACACATTGCCCCCAGACATGACATCTCCACTGCCCCCAGCCTTCTCCTCTTTGCAACATTCATCACCCATGCTTCACACCCATAAAGAGCGTTGGTAAAACTATACTCTCATACATTCCCCTCTTTGCCTCCAAGGACAAAGTTCTTTGTCTCCACAGACTCCTAAGTGCACCGCTCACCCTTTTCCCCTCATCAATTCTATGATTCACCTCATCTTTCATAGACCCATCGGCTGACATGTCCACTCCCAAAATCTGAATACATTCACCTCCTCCATACTCTCTCCCTCCAATCTGATATCCAATCTTTCATCACCTAATCTTTTTGTATCCTCATAACCTTACTTTTTCCTGTATTAAACTTTTAATTTTTTTCTTTTGCATACCCTAACCAAATTCATCCACCAACCTCTGCAACTTCTCTTCAGAATCTCCCAAGAGCACAGTGTCATCACAAAGAGCAACTGTGACAACTCCCACTTTGTGTGATTCTTTACTTTTAACTCCACGCCTCTTGCCAAGACCCTCGCATTTACTTCTCTTACAACCCCCTCTATAAATAATTAAACAACCACTGTGACACACACATCCTTGTCTAAGGCCTACTTTACCCAGAAATAATCTCCCTCTTTCCTACATACCTAACTTGAGCCTCACTATCCTCGTAAAAACTCTTCACTGCTTTCAGTAACCTACCTCCTACACCATACACCTGCCACATTGCCCCCCTATCCACCCTGTCATATGCCTTTTCCAAATCCATAAATGCCACAAAAACCTCTTTAGCCTTATCTAAATACTGTTCACCCTTATATGTTTCACTGTAAACACCTGGTCCACACACCCCCTACCTTTCCTGAAGCCTCCTTGTTCATCTGCTATCCTATTCTCCATCATACTCTTAATTCTTTCAATAATAACTCTACTATACACTTTACCAGGTATACTCAACAGACTTATCCCCCTATAATTTTTGCACTCTCTTTTGTCCCCTTTGCCTTTATACAAAGGAACTATGCATGCTCTCTGCCAATCCCTAGGTACCTTACCCTCTTCCATACATTTATTAAATAATTGCACCAACCACTCCAAAACTATATCCCCACCTGCTTTTAACATTTCTATCTTTATCCCATCAATCCCAGCTGCCTTACCCCCTTTCATTTTACCTACTGCCTCACGAACTTCCCCCACACTCGCAACTGGCTCTTCCTCACTCCTACAAGATGGTATTCCTCCTTGCCCTATACACGAAATCACAGCTTCCCTATCTTCATCAACATTTAACAGTTCCTCAAAATATTCCTTCCATCTTCCCAATACCTCTAACTCTCCATTTAATAACTCTCCTCTCCTATTTTTAACTGACAAATCCATTTGTTTTCTAGGCTTCCTTAAATTGTTAATCTCGCTCCAAAACTTTTTCCTATTTTCAACAAAATTTGTTGATAACATCTCACCCACTCTCTCATTTGCTCTCTTTTTACATTGCTTCACCACTCTCTTAACCCCTCTCTTTTTCTCCATATACTCTTCCCTCCTTGCATCACTTCTACTTTGTAAAAACTTCTCATATGCTCACTTTTTCTCCCTTACTACTCTCTTTACATCATCATTCCACCAATTGCTCCTCTTCCCTCCTGCACCCACTTTCCTGTAACCACAAACTTCTGCTGAACACTCTAACACAACATTTTTAAACTTACCCCATACCTATTCGACCCCATTGCCTATGCTCTCATTAGCCCATCTATCCTCCAATAGCTGTTTATATCTTACCCTAACTGCCTCCTCTTTTAGTTTATAAACCTTCACCTCTCTCTTCCCTGATGCTTCTATTCTCCTTGTATCCCATCTACCTTTTACTCTCAGTGTAGCTACAACTAAGAAGTGATCTGATATATCTGTGGCCCCTCTATAAACATGTACATCCTGAAGTCTACTCAACAGTCTTTTATCTACCAATACATAATCCAACAAACTACTGTCATTTTGCCCTACATCATATCTTGTATACTTATTTATCCTCTTTTTCTTAAAATATGTATTGCCTATAACTAAACCCCTTTCTATACAAAGTTCAATCAAAGGGCTCCCATTATCATTTACACCTGGCACCCCAAACTTACCTGCCACACCCTCTCTAAAAGTTTCTCCTACTTTAGCATTCAGGTCCCCTACCACAATTACTCTCTCACTTGGTTCAAAGGTTTCTATACATTCACTTAACATCTCCCAAAATATCTCTCTCTCCTCTACATTCCTCTCTTCTCCAGGTGCATACACACTTATTATGACCCACTTTTTGCATCCAACCTTTACTTTAATCCACATAATCCTTACATTTACACATTCATATTCTCTCTTCTCCTTCCATAACTGATCCTTCAACATTACTGCTACCCCTTCCTTAGCTCTAACTCTCTCAGATACTCCAGATTTAATCCCATTTATTTTCCCCCACCGAAACTCCCCTACCCCCTTCAGCTTTGTTTCACTTAGGGCCAGGACATCCAACTTCTTTTCATTCATAACATCAGCAATCATCTGTTTCTTGTCATCCGCACTACATCCACGCATATTCAAGCATCCCAGTTTTATAAATTTTTTCTTCTCGTTTTTAGTAAATGTCTACAGAAGGGGTTACTAGCCCATCGCTCCCGGCATTTTAGTCGCCTCATACGACACGCATGGTTTACGGAGGAAAGATTCTTTTCCACTTCCCCATGGACAATAGAAGAAATAAAGAAGAACAAGAGCTTTTTAGAAAATGGAGAAAAACCTAGATGTATGTATATATATAGGCATGTGCGTGTCTGTGAAGTGTGACCAAAGTGTAAGTAGGAGTAGCAAGTGATTACCAGTATTTAATTACAGCAGATTCTTATTTCCTGCTCATATTTATCATATTTATATATTTTTTCAGGCTTTAATCAAACCATGGGCAAACAAAGTAGCAGAAAGCCTGATTCTCATTGACTCAACGCTTCCCGACAATGATGATCCATTGAACTCAAGCGTAGATGAAAAACCTTCCAAGAAAAAGGGTAGTAGTAGAGGCATGATGGAATTAGCACCCCCGAAGGTCTTCATTGCAGAAATTCTTGACACTTGTACTCCTTCAGCTAGAACACAAGGGCTGATTGAAAGCTCTGGTTGTGTGCGACTCTCTGGAACATTAGCTGGATTGGCATTTGTGTACCCAAAGGTAAGTTTTTTTTTTTTTTTTAACAAACCGGCCGTATCCCACCAAGGCAGGGTGGCACAAAAAGAAAAATGAAAGTTTCTCTTTTTAAATTTAGTAATTTATACAAGAGAAGGGGTTACTAGCACCTTGCCCCCGGTATTTTAGTCTCCCCTTACAACACGCATGGCTTACGGAGGAAGAATTCTGTTCCACTTCCCCATGGAGTTTATTTTTATTCTTTCTTTCTTTCTTTCAACAAACCGGCCGTATCCTATCGAGGCAGGGTGGCCCAAAAAGAAAAACAAAAGTTTCTCTTTTTTAAATTTAGTAATTTATACAGGAGAAGGGGTTACTAGCCCCTTGCTCCTGGCATTTTAGTCTTTATTTTTATTATTAGGTTTAAATTTTATTATATTGTCAATGATCTCCTGACAGGGAAAGGAAAATGGATGAAATGGCAATTTTTTTTTTTTCAACACCATGGTCGTCTCCCACTGAGGCCAGGTGACCCAAAGAAGAGTAAACTTAGTTTTTCCTCTTTTTACATTTAGTAATTTATACAGATGGAGTTACTAGCCCAAGTGGCAAAGGTAAAAGTTGCGAATCATGCTTAATAAAGCTCTACACAGACCCCCAAATGTTGTCCCAATGAAAGCATCTTTTGCAACTTACCTTTATCTCATTCACATTCTGGAAATTTGTGACTTGAATGCTCCAACTAATTTTTATTTGATCAGTTAGGTTTCCATTTAGAAAGGATGTGTTTCAGTCTCTTTATAAATTTAGTAATGTAGTACAGTGGACCCCCGCATAACGATGGCATCGCATAGCGATTTTTCCGCATAACGATTACTTTTATCGCAAAATTTTTGCCGCGCATACCGATTAAAAACCCGCAGACCGATTTTCGTCGAGACCGCGTCCAATTGCATAGCCTAGAGCCTCAAATCGCTCCGTCCCATTGTATTACAGCCAGACCTCACGCGAAGAGTAAGCCAGAGCTACTCGGAATATTTCGTATTATTACAGTATTTTCGGTGCTGTTTGAGCAAAATAATGACCATGGGCCCAAGAAAGTTCTAGTGCCAACCCTGTGGTAAAAAGGTGTGAGAATAGTATGGAAATTAAGAAAGATTGAAGGTTTTGGGGTAAACCCTAGAAGCCTATGCCATATGTGGATCCATTGTGCTACTTCAAAGATTAGGAAATCTGTGCAGAGTGGTTGAACTGCAAACCTTTATAGATGAAAATCACCCTTGACACAGCTGTTGCAAGCCGTGCTTTTGACTATTTCAATGACAATGTTATGGCCCATATTTAGGAAAGTCTTGAAGGAAACGGAAGAGTACAGAGCTCTTATGGAACTTAGTTTGTGCGACAGAGGTCCAGTGACTCTCAAGCTGGTCCTAGTGGCATATAAAGAAGAAGGGAAGTAACCCCAGAAAGGACTTGCTACCTCAAGTCCTAATGGAAGGGGATTCCCCTTCTAAACAGTAAGAAGATAATGCTCTCCCCTCCTCCCATCCCATCAATCATCACCAGATCTTCAATAAAAGTAAGTGTCATGTAATTGTGCATGCCTTTTTCAGTTTGTGTGTATTAAAATTAACATTTCATGTGGTAAAAAAAAATTTTTTTCATACTTTTGGGCGTCTTGCACGGATTAATTTTATTTCCATTATTTCTTATGGGGAAAATTCATTCGCATAACGATTATTTCGCATAACGATGAGCCCTCTTGCACGGATTAAAATCGTTAACCGGGGGTCCACTGTATACAGAAGGGGGGGTTACTAGCCCTTGCTCCTAGCATTTTAGTCACTTCTTATGACACACATGGCTTAAGGAGAAAGAATTCTCTTAATAATGTTATTTTACTAATATTGTAGTACTGTTCAATACTAAAACCTTGTGTACTTGAAAATATTCTAGATTTCAAAACAAACATTGATAACAATGTAATGACTGAGAAAAGGATTGAAAAAAATTTTGCAGACAGTGGGTAGGAGCCCAGAGAAGCTTAGTGGACAGTGATTGATTCATTAACTCCATGGTGAAGATTTAGAAGCCATAAAATATTAGAGATAATGCAAGCACAATGGTCCTATTGTATTTTCTTTATTATCTCCTTTGGTGATAATATTACAATTCATAAGGAAAAAAGTTCATTGGGTTTAGCAAATCAATTAACCATATTCACAAAAAGATTATATAGGCAAGCTGGATTTTGATCTGCTAGTGCCCCTCTCTGTCTTCTTATATACAGTAGTGTAACTCTATTAACATCAATAATAAGTCTTTTAAGATTAAAAAGTATATGTCCAGTAATTCCATTGAGTGTATTCTATGACAGGTTTAGACTGCTTGCACTACATCAGAATTTGCACTCTCATACAGTGCCAAACTACAGTATTTACCTAACAAGAAAATGCTAATGATACAGTGTATGTAATGGTTTTTACACTCTATTACATAGTAGCAGCTCTTGAAGACTGGTATCCTGATACAGTGAAGGACTCTTAATCCAAGGAATTGAGCTACCTTCTCCTTAAATCAAACCTTGATTACTCCCCTCCCTTCTATTCCCCAGATGCTTTATGAGCCTTATGAATTTAGTGCTTTTCATAATACAAATATGTGGTCTGGACAAAGCTATTGCCCAGACACCAGACTTGCAATCACAAGACACTTCTCTAGACAACTAGTGGAGTTGGTGTTTGTTACTTATTTTAGAGTTTATGCTGGTTTTATATGTTGTGTATAATAGTTTTATAAGGTTTGATGTACCATTTTCTTTAATTCAGGCAACGGTGGGAGAAGCTCGTGCTGCTGTTTTGGTTGATCTAGTGCGTTCTGTTGTGGCTCGTTGGGAGATGCACTGTGATTCTCTTGTGGATGAACCGCCCTCCCACCTCACTGGTCCCATCATCCATGAGCCTCCACGACGAGTGTTTTTGGAAGGTAAAAATGTTTTAGATAATTTGTGTTAGGTCAAAAATCCAGAAAATATATACGTATTACACACATTCATACAGATTGGATTTTATCCAGTTTTTATTGGTTTTCCTATTTTTAAGACTAAAAACATAGTCAACCAATATGCAAAAACCTGTTAAGTGATAGAGAAAATTGTTACCTTTTAGAGAAAAGGTTTTCAGGAGGGTCATTTACCACTTCATCCTTGTAAGACTATCAGACTGCTGGTAGACTATTCCAAAAAACTTCCTGGCATATCATCAGTATAAAATATTATGATTGAAGTTATTCTTTTCTACAAATTTAAACAAAAAATTAGTTTTATTACCCATGTACTTTTCAGCATAAAACTGCAAGACTTGCATAGAATAGTCCCCAATATTAGAAAGGTAAAATATTTTACACATGGCTGATAAACCAAGGAAAATAATCATTACAGCACAGTGCAGTATGGATGGTATTGCTCCTTATAATTTCATCATTTATTATTCATGTTTAATGTTTACAACTTTTTTTTTCATTTACAAATGATTAACCTATGAAATGCTCTACAATAAATGTAAATCACTCTGTAAATAGCCTTGGAAGACCATTTAATGTGTTCCAAAATCAGTGTCAGGGAAAAATTGCTTTCATGTTTTCTACTTTTTATTTAATATCATCATTCCAAATGTTCTAGGTAGTAGGTTGGTAGACAGCAACCGCCCAGGGAGGTACTACCGTCCTGCCAAGTGAGTGTAAAACGAAAGCCTGTAATTGTTTTACATGATGGTAGGATTGCTGGTGTCCTTTTTTCTGTCTCATAAACATGCAGGATTTCAGGTATGTCTTGCTACTTCTACTTACACTTAGGTCACACTACACATACATGTACAAGCATATATATACACACCCCTCTGGGTTTTCTTCTATTTTCTTTCTAGTTCTTGTTCTTGTTTATTTCCTCTTATCTCCATGGGGAAAGTGGAACAGAATTCTTCCTCCGTAAGCCATGCGTGTTGTAAAAGGCGACTAAAATGCCGGGAGCAAGGGGCTAGTAACCCTTTCTCCCATATAAATTACTAGATTTAAAAAGAGAAACTTTCGTTTTTCTTTTTGGGCCACCCAGCCTTGGTGGGATATGGCCGATTTGTTGGAAAAAAAAAACCCAAATGTAATTTTGGGCTCTGCTTAGCATGTCTGATTAGTGCATTTTTAATGCTCTGTTTCATGTAAAGTGTTACGTTGAAAGTGGGTTTAATGAGGGTACTTGGTCATCTCTCCATTCCTTTCTTTTTAAAGGTGGTGGACTACCTGTGAGCTTGTGTGATTATCTGTTCCCTGGAGACACATGTGCTGATGCTTGCCAGTCAGCTAAGGAGCTACTTGGTGTCAGTGTTCGTAAGGAACATGTGGATGATACTCTGGAAACTCTTGCAGGTAAGGAGTTTTATATCATCATTGAGCTATTTTTTTTTTTTTTCTGAGTTATAAACAGTGAAAGATTAGTGTGCTTATTATAATATAGCACTGGCTTACTGTAAGTATTTTGCTAAATCTGTCTTGACTTACCTATTTTATAAAACACAAACATGGCTCCAAGATGTCAAGATATTTTACAGCTGTCAGATTCATGCCAGATTGCACGAGACCATGATGGATCTATAATTTAAAAAGTTGATTTTGTTGGTTGACAATATTGATGTTTTACAGTTTTACTGTAAACTTTATAAATAAAATCATTCTAATATGTTAGCAACACTACGCATTAAAATAACCTTAGGTACATGTACATGTATAAAAGCAACTGTTTAGTTGGATGACTTGGCCAAGTTGTGAAAGTTTTACTCTCTACATTATGCATGTTTACTAATACTTATTTCGTATGTACCATTTTACAAAATTAAATATTGATTTGATGCCTTTACCAAATAAAGTTAACTGTATAGTTTTTTTATGCACAAGATCTTGTTAGAGGTAAACTTATTCTCTCACTATCTGCCAGTTGGTTGACAGTGAGGGAGGCTGTTACTGGCTGTGATCATGATCATATTGGCAACATACTAGAAGCACAGATTAAAATAGTTAAATATTTTTTATTCATTGTTAGCCATTGTTTATTCCCCCACCCCCTTTTTTTTTTTTTTTTTTTTTTTTAGATACTGTACTGTACTTGTATTTGTGTAATTGAAAACTTTAAATTCAGTCATACAGTACTTGTAGGGTTACTGGATATATATAATCTGATTTTTAGGTCAAATATTTCTATTTTGATTCTTTCTAAGCATTCATTTTTTTCATCAGATGCTTCAGAAGTAATGGACACAAGTGATGCTGATGAGGCTAAGCATCTCGGTGTTGAAGGCTCACATCGAGAAGACACTTGTTCTGTCACATACATACTGTTAGCTATTGTTATAGCTGTGCTGGGCATTGCAGTATCTTATGTTTCACTGAGAGGAACAAGATCATTAACCTAAGGTTACACATCATTTTTTTAGATATCAAGAAAGAAGGCAAGTTTTTCCCTCTTGGTAACAGTGTTTAGGTTCCTAGACTCGTGTGAATATTACAAGGTAAAGATGTGCATTATGAGGGAGATTTCTCTGTTAAATTATGAGAAATCTATGTTGATCAGGTGATTGATTTTAATTTTTTATGTACTGTAATTGCTTTTCATTGTTATGTGGGATGGTTGGGAATGTGGTTTTTTCACAATGAATTAATTTCTTTTTTATAAATCCTGGCTTATACTGATTATTTTGGGTGTTTTATGTTAGTCTTCAACAACTGTTTGAAAATCCTTAAAATAAACCAGTAATTTAATTACTTATTGTCCTATATTTTTGGGAATGGATATATATACATGTATATTTGAAGTTAGTAAATACATTAATTTCCTAACATGCTTTAACCCTTTCAGGGTTTTTGACGTACTAGTACATCTAAATTCTAGCGCCCTCAAATCTAGCGAGAGAAAGCTGGTAGGCCTACATATGAAAGAATGGGTCTATGTGGTCAGTGTGCACAGTATAAAAAAAATCCTGGAGCACACAGTACGTAATGAGAAAAAAAAAATCTTTGACCGTGTTTTGGGATTAAAACAGCAACTTTGCACTGTATTTCCGTTTGGTATTTACTGTTGTATTCTAGAATGGAAGACATTACAGAAATTAAGATGATTTTGACTGGCTTTACAATGAAAAAAGTACCTTGAAATTGAGCTCAAAGTAGCAGAAATGTTCGATTTTTACCCAAGTTCAAAAGTAAACAAATCATGCTGAGCGTCCAATACACATCAACTAGCGAGTCTTATATTCTTTCACAAGTGAGCCGATGTTATTTATACCATTTCTGCACTAATGCAGTAGTCTGCATAACAGTAAATCTTCTATTTTTTGTGAAATAAAAATTCACTGTGGAAAGCAAAAGAAATGTAAGAGGGGCGTGGGGACGTGACTAATGAACAGAGGAAATGTTATTTTAGTGCCAGGAATGTCTTTCTTGTTTATTCTGGACCCTATTTGGAAATTGGCATCTTTTGAAATTTGTGTGAAATTGGCAAAATTGCTAAATTCTGACCACTGTATTGGATAGTTGAAATTGGTAAATGGGTGGTTTCTTGTACTCATTTGATAGAAAAAATGGAATTCTAGCAAAATAGTTATGATTTTTGTCAGCTAGTACACTGGAAGTGGCCAAAAATAGGGCTCAAAGTTGGCAAAATCGCTGATGCGTAAACATCATTGAGACCGCTAACTTTGCGAGAGCATAATTCCGTAAGTTTTCCATCAAATTTCATACTTTTGGTGTCATTATGATCGGGAAAAGATTCTCTATCTTTTCATAAGATTTTTTTTTTTTTTTTTTTTTTTGAAATTTGGGCGACCCTGAGAACAAGTCTGGGAGAGGGCCTGGGGACCCTGAAAGGGTTAAGTATGCCGTACTTAAAGTATGGTATACTTTTGATATACTTGTTAGGAAATTAATGTATTTTAATACACAAGTCCACATCCCTTTATCTGAAACCCTTGGGGCCAGTAATGTTTTGAATTTCAGAATTTTTCGAAGTTCAGAATGATTCTCAATGCCGCCATTTGGCGGCGTGACCCAGCACTGAGACGACTGACGCTCCTTCAGTTTTCGGAACTTTTCCAATTTAAGAATTTCGGATAAAGGGTTGTGGACCTGTATAACATTTGCTTATAATGTATATTGCATTTTGCCAGTGCATTCCCTCAGCTACATTTTGATGTATTTTTTATCTGTCCATATCCAGAATAATCAGTATACGATGTTAGTGTTTCTGCAAATTCAATGTAAGTCGAATGTTCAGTATTCATAATCTATTTTCCTATAAGAAACAATGTAAAATGGATTGGTGTGTTCCCAAGCTCTAATTTTCCTAAATAATTTTTAGTTAATTTTGTCCACAACAAATTTTTGCCCAATATTTTACATTCGGTACTGTTCCTTTTTACTTGCATATAGTAATAAATTATTGTATAGATATGTGTGTGAGTAAGTGCATGAGCATGTGAATCTGTGTGTGTGTGTGAGGAACTGAATGTGTGAAAGAGTGGCAGACAGACAGGCAGTGCAGTGTAGTGCATGAAGGTGGCGGGGATTATGTGAGGGAGGGCATTGTAAGGTCCTACACCTTACCCACTGAAACTTGTACAGGACATGTGAACAGGTCACTCCTCAATGGCATACCAACCCCCACCCAACCCCCTTCCCATCCCATTCCACTCTTCCCCAGTCCTCTTCCTAGGGTCACCAGCCTGAGGTAGTGATCTTCCTGGGCTCCCAGGTAACTCAACCACCTCACTTCCTTACCAAGCACCCTTATGTCTTCCTTTGCCTGCCAACCATGACGTCAATAATAAATCTACAGTTCTTGCTTAATCTCTACAAAAATGAATGTGAACTCTGTATACATGCCTAAAATAAAAATGCATGAAGTTGGGTACATTTGGTAAAAAAAAAAAAAAAAAATCAATTTTTTTATAATTCATCCTTAACCCTAGGGATTGGCAGAGAGCATGCATAGTTCCTTTGTATAAAGGCAAAGGGGATAAAAGAGAGTGCAAAAATTATAGGGGGATAAGTCTGTTGAGTGTACCTGGTAAAGTGTATGGTAGAGTTATAATTGAAAGAATTAAGAGTAAGACGGAGAATAGGATAGCAGATGAACAAGGAGGCTTTAGGAAAGGTAGGGGGTGTGTGGACCAGGTGTTTACAGTGAAACATATAAGTGAACAGTATTTAGATAAGGCTAAAGAGGTCTTTGTGGCATTTATGGATTTGGAAAAGGCGTATGACAGGGTGGATAGGGGGCAATGTGGCAGATGTTGCAAGTGTATGGTGTAGGAGGTAGGTTACTGAAAGCAGTGAAGAGTTTTTACGAGGATAGTGAGGCTCAAGTTAGAGTATGTAGGAAAGAGGGAAATTTTTTCCCAGTAAAGTAGGCCTTAGACAAGGATGTGTGATGTCACCGTGGTTTTTTAAATTTATATTTATAGATGGGGTTGTAAGAGAAGTAAATGCGAGGGTCTTGGCAAGAGGCGTGGAGTTAAAAGATAAAGAATCACACACAAAGTGGGAGTTGTCACAGCTGCTCTTTGCTGATGACACTGTGCTCTTGGGAGATTCTGAAGAGAAGTTGCAGAGATTGGTGGATGAATTTGGTAGGGTGTGCAAAGAAGAAAATTAAAGGTGAATACAGGAAAGAGTAAGGTTATGAGGATAACAAAAAGATTAGGTGATGAAAGATTGAATATCAGATTGGAGGGAGAGAGTATGGAGGAGGTGAACGTATTCAGATATTTGGGAGTGGACGTGTCAGCGGATGGGTCTATGAAAGATGAGGTGAATCATAGAATTGATGAGGGAAAAAGAGTGAGTGGTGCACTTAGGAGTCTGTGGAGACAAAGAACTTTGTCCTTGGAGGCAAAGAGGGGAATGTATGAGAGTATAGTTTTACCAACGCTCTTATATGGGTGTGAAGCGTGGGTGATGAATGTTGCAGCGAGGAGAAGGCTGGAGGCAGTGGAGATGTCATGTCTGAGGGCAATGTGTGGTGTGAATATAATGCAGAGAATTCGTAGTTTGGAAGTTAGGAGGAGGTGTGGGATTACCAAAACTGTTGTCCAGAGGGCTGAGGAAGGGTTGTTGAGGTGGTTCGGACATGTAGAGAGAATGGAGCGAAACAGAATGACTTCAAGAGTGTATCAGTCTGTAGTGGAAGGAAGGCGGGGTAGGGGTCGGCCTAGGAAGGGTTGGAGGGAGGGGGTAAAGGAGGTTTTGTGTGCGAGGGGCTTGGGACTTCCAGCAGGCATGCGTGAGCGTGTTTGATAGGAGTGAATGGAGACAAATGGTTTTTAATACTTGACGTGCTGTTGGAGTGTGAGCAAAGTAACATTTATGAAGGGATTCAGGGAAACCGGCAGGCCGGACTTGAGTCCTGGAGATGGGAAGTACAGTGCCTGCACTCTGAAGGAGGGGTGTTAATGTTGCAGTTTAAAAACTGTAGTGTAAAGCACCCTTCTGGCAAGACAGTGATGGAGTGAATGATGGTGAAAGTTTTTCTTTTTCGGGCCACCCTGCCTTGGTGGGAATCGGCCGGTGTGATAATAAAAAATAAAAAAAATAACCCTTAAACGGTCCAAACGTATATATACGTTCACTCGCGTAGCGCCCCAACTTTTTTGAGGAAAAAAAAACGATCTTTTCTTTTAAAAGGAAAAAAGAGCATATGGTACCCAGGCATCCCCAATTATTTTAATATGGCACACAGTGATTGTGCACACCCATTCTCTCATGTCTAGGTGACTCAGGCTTATTGTGGCAATGTTGAATGAATGACAGAAAACGTATATATACGTTTGGGGCGCTACGCGCGTGGACGTATATATACGTTTGGACCGTTTAAGGGTTAATAAAAATGTAAATATTAAAATCTATGGTTTTTTACCAAATCTCTATCAGACAAATGTAAGCTCTGTTCATTGATAACATGAACATACACAAAATATGAATGTATTTGGTAAAAAAAAAAACTAATAGAGAAAATCATGAAATGAATCTGTCCTGCTGTTGAAAGAGTGAGGTTGTTTGTAAGGAAATTGATTCCAAAGGGCAGACAATCACAAGTTGAAATTTTGTAAGTTGGGGTCCTGTTGTAATGGATATAATATTTTTTTGAAATAAGTTTGCTATGCCAGTGACATGGTCAAAATTTCAAAGAATTTGCATAAAAAGCAAACTATTTAAATTTGTTCATTCATACCTTCAAATTTGCAGGAAAGGGGAAAAAGGTTGCATTCTTAGAAGTCCATTAAAATTCAAATCACAGATAATACAGAAGACCTGCATTTTGTTCTGTCACAAATTGTGTTATCAGTATATTGATAATTGATCATGTCTTTATGCTAGGAAGTTCAGGGAAATTCCGTTTCATGGAAAATTGGGTTTAATTGCATGGCTGGATGTTTCCACTCTGCTTAGAATGAGGCTATTATTGTAGCGAAAAGTCTAACATGGCTCCTTTGCGTAAACACCCACCTACATGGTCCATTGCATTTTGGATATGTCCTATACCATACTCTCTCCAGTGCTTATCACTCCATTTTCAATCTTTTCATCACACCGTTTTGTCTCCAGAAATTAACCATGGATCAAAAATGGGAATACTTGTGATCCTAAAGGGGCCAAGAAATAGTTTAAGCAGGATACATAGCTCAAACCATACCACGGGTGGGGATAGAACCCGCAATGAGAGAGTCTCGAAACTCCAGATTTGTCTGTAAAAACTTGCATTTGTGGTCACAGTGGTGCCTATGCTAACCTTCCTATGGTGTTGAAATATACCTAGTTGGATGAATCTTATTGTGGCTAGCTGGTCCAGTGGCTAATGCGACGGTCTGGAGTTTTGAGACTCTCTGATTGCGGGTTCTGTCCCCACCCGTGGTATGGTTTGTTTGCAATCATGTCGTTACGATTTCGTGAGTCATGAGTACATAGCCCAATTTGAAAAAAAAAAAATTGAAGCAATAAGTATTCGTAAAGGTAGTGTAAGGGTTACAGAGAAGAGAAAACATGCACATTTAGTGATAGTGAACAATTCATTCAAGACAATGAATTAAATAAAGAAAGAGCTTGTGTAATGAGTAATCCAGATTGTGACGTGCTGAAAAGAATGTTGAACTCGATACGGCTAGATTAGACAGAAAAGTTGTTGAACGTGTCAGTCAAGCATGAGACAAAGCAGAAAGTTGGTTCTAGGCATATTCCCCTAAGAAAGAAGAAGAGCAGGAGTAAACTGGAGAGAGAAAGACGCTACCTCTACAGAAGACGACGAAGAGTCACTGAGCTCCTCAGGAGTGCTAGAATATCTGATACACGAAAGGAGGCACTGACCAGGGAAGTGGAAACTATTGAACTTAAGTTAAATGACTCTTACAGGAACCAGGAGAGGCAGGAGGAGCTTAAAGCTATTAGTGAAATTGAAAGAAATTCAAAATATTTCTTTTCATATGCCAAAAACAAGGCAAATACCACATCTAGTATCGGGCCCTTACTCAGACAGGATGGGACTTACACAGATGACAACAAGGAAATGAGTGAAATATTGAAATCCCAGTACGACTCTGTGTTTAGTGAACCACTAATCGGTCTGAGGATCGACGACCCAAATGATTTCTTCATGAATGAGCCTCAAAACTCCATAAATGTATGCCAGATTTCCGACATTACCCTAACTTCGATAGATTTTGAAAAAGCCATTGACAACGTGCCTATGCACTCAGCCCCGGGCCCAGACTCGTGGAACTCTGTTTTCATTAAGAACTGCAAGAAGCCCCTCTCGCGTGCCCTAAGTACACTATGGAGGAGGAGCTTGGACATGGGTGAAATTCCACAGTCACTTAAAACAACGGATGTAGCCCCACTCCATAAAGGTGTCAGCAAAGCATTAGCTAAGAACTATAGACCAATAGCTCTGACGTCCCACATCATAAAAATCTTTGAAAGAGTGCTAAGAAGCAGGATTGCAAATCACCTGGATTCCCAAAATCTGCACAATCCAGGGCAACATGGGTTCAGGGAAGGTCGCTCCTGCCTCTCACAACTACTGGATCACTATGACATGGCCTTGGATATACTGGAAGAAAATCAGAATGCAGATGTAATATACACAGACTTTGCAAAAGCATTTGACAAATGCGATCATGGCGTAATAGCCCACAAAATACATGCTAAAGGAATAACTGGGAAAGTGGGGAGATGGATCTTCAACTTCCTAACAAATCGAACACAAAGAGTAGTGGTCAACAGAGTTAAATCGGAGGCTGCCATGGTGAAGAGCTCTGTTCCACAAGGCACAGTACTCGCCCCCATCTTATTCCTTATCCTCATATCAGACATAGACAGAGATATACACCACAGCACCATATCATCCTTTGCGGATGATACTTGGATCTGCATGAGGCTGTCATCTGCTGAGGATGCGGTTAACCTCCAAGAAGATATAAACAAAGTTTTCCAATGGGCAACGGTAAACAATGTGATGTTCAATGAGGACAAATTCCAACTACTCCGTTATGGAAAACTGGAGGAGATAATAACTAGAACAGAGTATACTACTGACTCCGACCATACAATAGAGCGGAAAAATAATGTAAGGGACCTGGGAGTAGTAATGTCTGAGGATCTCACTTTCAAGGATCACAACAGTGCCACGATTGCACGTGCAAAGAAAATGATAGGATGGATAATGAGAACTTTCAAAACGAGAGATGCCAAGCCAATGATGATCCTTTTCAAATTGCTTGTTCTCTCTTGGCTGGAATACTGCTGTACATTAACATCTCCATTCAAAGCAGGTGAAATCGCAGATCTAGAGAGTGTACAGAGATCCTTTACTGCCGTATAAGCTCTGTCAAGCACCCTTTAAATACTGGGAACGCTTGGAAGCACTTGACTTGTACTCGTTGGGAAAGCAGGAGGGAGAGAGATATTATAATCTACACTTGGA